TAAATCACCTGTACAACTATCCTACCTGGTTTGAATTGACTAAATCACCTGTGCACTAATCCTACCTGCTTTGAATTCACTAGACCACCTGTGCACCAATCATACCTGGTTTGAATTGACCTATACACCAATCCTACCTAGTTTGAATTGGCTAAATCACCTGTACACCAATCATACCTGGTTTGAATTGACTTGTACACCAATCCTACCTGGTTTGAATTGACTATAAAATCACCTGTACATCAGTCCTACCTGGTTTGAATTAACTAAATTGCTTGTACACAAGTCCTATCTGGTTTGAATTCATCAAATCACCTGTACACCAATCTTACCTGGTTTGAATTGATTAAATCACCTTTACATAAATCTTACCTGGTTTGAATTAACTAAATTGCTTGTACACAGATCCTACCTGGTTTGAATTCATCAAATTACCTGTACACCAATCTTACCTGGTTTGAATTGATTAAATCACCTTTACATAAATCTTACCTGGTTTGAAATCTTTTCTATGTTCATCTACTTTATCTTGAATGAACATCACCCACTCTTGACAAATTCGCTTAAAGTTACGTATCGCTGGTGATGGTACGTACTGCAGTACTGGGGCGAAGTCAGCTGCAAATCCATTACCCGTTGCTGCAGTCAATTCTTTTATTAGTTTTAAAATGTAAAGAAGTTCTGGGTCCTCTAGGCTATATCTAGTTTAGAAAGTGCAAAGGAGATACAAAGCATTTTACATTTAGTTTTATCATAGATAATGTTTTCGGTTATTTTTAGTTATTTCTAAGTAATATTAAAAAAAAAATCGTTCTAAGTTATCGAGACTTATTATTTTGACTGATTATTGTATTTAAAACTACTTTTATGAAGTCAGAAATAAGAAATTATAAATAATCAAGTCTTGAAAATTGTTCATAGAAAGAATTGTCACATATTATTTAATTATGCAAATTAGCAGAAATAAGAGTCTTGAGTACGAAAATAAACAGTTAAATGATAAAATCGACCGATTGGAAAATAAGCTTGACACACAACAAGGCCAACTAAAACGTGACAATTTAATATTCCACGTAAGGCAGACGTGGGATAAATCTGAAGAAAAAGTTAAACATTTTATAAAACACAAAGATAAGTTAAACAGAAAACATTCGAAAGAGTCCCCCGAATGAGCGGGTCACGTATTAAACCACAACCCATTATCGCCAAATTCATTCATTTTAAATTCATTTCAAACATGTTAAAGAATGCGAGAATAAATACATGTAGAAGTTTGTTGGATGCTGGAATGCGTGTTAGTGAAGATTTCTCGGATTTAGTGAGAAAAAAGAGATGCTGAGATACCATAATTTGATCATCGACGGTAAAGTTTATATCGACGACTTTTAACATGGATAAAGGTTCGGCTTATGCAACGAAAATAAACCACAGCAGAACTCTAAAAATACTGTATTGGATACGAACTATACAACAGGTAACAATCTTAAAGAATCATTTGAACATAATGTTATTAATTGTATATGCTGGAATGTCAATAATGCTCGATCTAAATGGTCAAACCCTGATTTTCTTTCTTATCTAAAGGAATTTCATGTGATTTGTCTCACGGAGAGACATGGGGTACTACTAATGACACATTTTCCCTTGATGGGTATACATTCTAATGTAGTACTCGACCCAAATATTGTCACTTTGGCAGGTACTCTGGTCGATTTCTTTGTTATACAAAACACATGGTTTCCAGTCAGTTGATCATTTGTATAACAATTATGCGGATATAATGTAGGCGAAAATGAAAACTAACGATAATTTACTTGTAATTGGTATTGTATATCTATCCCCCAAAGGTTCTTCTTCATATTCTGATATTAATTTATTTGATGTACTAGGAATTGAGTACGCTAAATATTCCCAAATGTATCCCAACCGCCATTGAATCTAATAGATTATTTAAGCCAGGCAAATACTGTGTATGTTCCCTGCCACGAAGAATATTTGAGTGATGTTATTTTACCACAAGACAATCACATGAGACATGGACAAACCGGTACGGGTAACGCCTTTTAGAGTTATGTAAAACATCTGGGTTACGTATTATGAATGGACGTTTTGCAGACAATAGTTGCTATTTTACGTGCTTAAATATTTCTAACAATGAATGGTTGGGTTATCTTCAAAATCTAATTAGTTATAACAACGATGAAATTGATGTGAACCCCTTCTACGAACAGTTTGTGGACAATTTTAACTTCGAAGAAAGTGACAAGGATTGTAACCATATTAATTGTGACGAACTTGGGAGCGAAATTACACTTGAGGTAGTTGAAAAAGTAATACATGACTTGAACAGGGATAAAGCTACAGGTATTCCTGTAGAATTGATAAAAAAATGTCCTACTGAATTTACAATTTTACTAGATAAATCGTTTAATAGGTTATATCTTGCTGGTTACTTTCAGAGTGATTGGTATTGGGGTTGATTGTACCGCTACATAAAAAGGGTGACATTGACGACGTTAATAACTATAGGGAAATTACATTATTGTCACCGCTGGGTAAAATATTTGCTTCTATTATATATACCAGATTGAACAAATGGGTTGAAAAAATTGTCCTTTGCGTTTCGCAAATCGTATAGTATGCTAGATTTTATGTTTATATTAGACTCCATCATAAATAGGTATTTTACTTTTAAAAGAAGACTTTATTGTGCATTTGTCAACTTTCAAAAAGTGTTCGACCATATTAATTATTATATGTTCTGCTACAAAGTGCTAAAAAATGGTCTTCATGGTCGGTTTTTCAAAATGTTACAGTCTATATATAGCAATATAAAGTCTTGTGTACGAAGCCCAAAAGCGGCAACGGAAACGGAAACGTTTAAATCTCTATGTCGGGTTCAACAAGGTTCTATCTTGTCACCTCTTTTGTTTGCACTGTTTATTAACAAGCTTGCTGATTATTTGGATCACCAATTTTCAGGTGTATATATTG